ATTATGAATCAATTTTATTGTAGATTTAAATATAATAGAATAAATATGAACTTAGACTGTCTCTTATACACATCTAGATGTGTATAAGAGACAGCTTCCAAGCCGTGTCCCAGACTGTATAAGTTATGCTTGTCGCCTGCTCCGGGAATAGGCTATAGGCCATTACTGGCCGCAGATCAATATTTCACCTCACCCTCAGGCACGCGAGGTCATCTGATCGAATCAGTTCGGCCAAGCCTGGACATTACCTCCGCGCAAAACCTAGGCCCTAGGCCTAATGCTATTACACCCTAGGCCTAGGCTACAAATCCAGCCGGGCACTTCGGAAATAAGCGGCCGATTCCACAAACATTTTGGGTAATTTGAGCTAGTCTTTGATTTATCATCGACGCTATTAAAATACTTCACAGTAAACCATAACAACTCCCTCAGTAAACAAAATCTCCAATACATTGCACACCGCTAAGACAAGCTCAGCAAGAAGTAGGTTTATGGTTATATGTGACGTGACGTTAATTCATGGATTTAACCTTCTGGGAAAAAAATCAGTTTTGCGTCTTTTTAATCGATCAAAAGATTGTATTAGGTTGAAGTCATTTCGTATCCATAGGCAATGTGCAAAGGAAGAAATGCAGGGTGGAGCAAAATGTTCATGATAAGTGGTGAAATGGGGACTAATGTCACGTGGTACAAAATCCACAAATCAAATTACTTGAATCTATTTATGTGTGTTAAAACCGTATAATTTTGCCACAGCTTTTTTTTTTCACTTTAAAATTTGCCATCAAATATTTTTCCATTAAACTGTGAGTGATTGGAATGTGTAATTCTACTTGCCCCACCTGTCTTCTGCGCCCTATTCTTAATTACTCCTGTACATGCCTTGTAGAAGTAATACAAATTAATTTTATCTATAATCAGGGCAATCTCTGAATAATAATTGGGTAAAAGTAACGGAATGTAATATCTATCCCCCAGGAGCTTTTATACAACCAAATGAAACGTTTACAGATGTTAAGCTAGAAAAGCTTATAGGTCGTAACTTTAAAATTATGGGAACCATTGCTGGAAAAGAGGTTTTCATAACACTCAAAGATCATAAAGATCATCAGCAAAGCAGATGAAACCCCACCGAGGAATATGATACACTCATACACGACAACATCACTATGTCATAATGAAGGGAAAAGAATGCAAGACCCACGAAATTTACAACACAGCCCCAAGTTAACTTGGCCCCAATTTACTGTATATTTAAGAAATACTGTATCACCAAAAGAAATTTGAATGCAAAGCCAAAATTAAAGTGTTTTATTTCCTTGACTTTGCTATTGCTTTTTTATTTACAATAATATAAACAGCATTAATAAAAATAATATTAAAATAATATTGATAAAAGAGGCAAATATACAAATTAATGGTAATAACGATAATGAACAATAATAACATAATAATGACAATACTGATTTATAGTCCATAGTCCATAGTATTCGTGTCTTATTAAGTTGACATCGGGCCGAGTTGACTCAAATTCAGCCAAATCAATTGCTACAAAATTGAAAATCGAAGGCCGAATGGAAATCACTGATGGAAAAATGCTTTCATAACACCCAAAGACTATACGAAAATCTCTCAAAATAAACCAAACTGTAGACTCATAAACCCATCAAAATAAAACATAGTACTCAAAGACCATAAGATAAACCACAACCTGCTAGCAAATGCACAAATGAAAACCAATGCGAAAACACCACTGCTGTCACTGAATGATTTACACCCATCCTGCACAAGTCAAGCAGTACGTTCATTTGTTTTGACACCGTAGAATTTTACCCATATAACACAAAAAAAAACGTAACAGATGCAATCCAGTATACACAAAACCACACCAGAACCCCTGAAGACAAAGTAGATAATTATTATTATGTACCCACAAAACTCAATATTGTTTGGTAACAATTCAACATGGATCAAGAAATATTGATACGACCGGACTGATGATTCTACGGGAAGTTATACGACGGGCCGAAAATACGAAACACGTTCCCTCCTCACCTCTCCTAAGCTTCGACAAGGCAATGCGACAAGATGAAGAAAACTTTTTATCCATCTGCCCTCCATTGGAAACATCAAGCATTACAACAAACCAAACAATCAACATCTCTACGACAACAGCAAACCTAACCTTCCTTCATCCATCCTGAAATAAATTCCCGAATTTATTAACAGACGTATGTCTAACATATCGGATTTCAAAGAATCATTTCATAAGACCGCCCCTACTACCAACAACAGTGGATTTCAGCAAAGACAAGGAATACGAACTTTCACAATTAAAATCCCAAAAGCGGAAAGAAATCGACAAATTATTTGTACAACCCACTATAAACAATGGGATGTACCAGCTTTTTACCAGACCTCACATTACCATCCAAGGTCCGATGCCACCAAACATTTTGCCAATTACCTCGTTTTTTGGGGTTTTTTTGGCATGGCCCACATAATCATATAGTATACAAATAATGAATGTTTATGAGTGCAATGAGGGAAAACAAGATTGACTGTTACATTCAACGAGGCTTCGCCTCGTTGAATGGATTTGTTTTATAACACACCTAAATAGATCCTTGTCATTTGATCATCTTCTATGCAGTGTGCTATTAAAATACTTCACAGTAAACCATAACAACTCCTTCATTAAACAAAATCTCAAATACATTGCACACCACTAAGTCAAGCTCAGCAAGAAGTAGGCTTATGGTTATGTGTTGTGACGTTTTTCGATTTAACCCTTTGGGAAAAAAATCAGTTCAGCATCTTTTTAACCAATCAAAAGATTGCATTAGGTTGAAGTAATTTCGTATCCATAGGCAACGTGCAATGGAAGAAAAGCAGGGTGGAGTAAAATGTTGATAAGTGATAAAATGGGGAAAATAACTAATGTCACGTGGTACGAAATCAACCAATCAAATAACTCGAATCTATGTGTGTTAAAACCGTATATTTCGCCACTCCAGCTTTTTTTTTCACTTTTCAATTTAGCATCAAATATTTTGTTTTTATTAAAGTGTGTGATTGGAATGCGTTATCCTACTTGCCCCGACCTGTCTTCTAAGCCCTATTTTTAATTATTCTTGTACAAATTTGTAGAGGTAATCCAATTTAAATTTATTTATAGTCAGGGCAATCTCTGAATAATAATGGGGTAAAAGTAATGGAATGTAATATCTATCCCCCAGGAGCTTTTATACAACCAAATGAAACACTTACAGATGTTAAGCTACAAAAGCTTATAACTTTAAAATCATGGAAACCATTGCTGGAAAAGAGGCTTTCATAACACTCAAAGATAATAAAGATCATCAGCAATGCATACTTCTACTAAGTAACTAAAGAGGAGTAGGACACACTCATACACAACAACATCAGTATGTCTCATACAAGAAGGTAAACAAAAGCAAGACCTACAAAATTAACACAGTTCCAAGTTATATCGGCCCCAATTTACTGTATATTTAAGAAAATACTGTATCACCAAAAGAAGTTTAAACGCAAAGCCAAAATTAAAGTTGCTTTTGCTATTCTTTTTTTATTTACAATAATAAAAATATCATTAATAAAAATAATATTAAAATAATATTGATAAAAGAGGCAACTATAAAAATTAATGATAATGAACAATAATAAGATACTGTATAATAACAACACTGATTTATAGTCCATAGTCCATATATATGGCATTCGTTTCTTATTATTTTATATACAATATAAGGATGGTTTAGATTGTACCTATATATATATATATGAGTTGACATGGGGCCCAGTTGACTCGAATTCAGCCAAATCAATTGTTACAAAATTGAAAATCGAAGGCCGAAAGGAAATCATTGATGAAAAAGTCTTTCATAACACTCAAAGACTATAAGGAAATCTCTCAAAATAACCGAAATTGTAGACTCATAAACCCATCAAAATAAAACATAGTACTCATAAGACATCCTCTACCAGATAAACCACAAACTGCTAGCAAAAGCATAAATGAACCAATGGAAAAACACCACTGCTTTCACTAAATGATTTAAACCCATCCTGCACAAAATAGTATGTTCATTTATCTTGACGCTGTAGAATGTTACCCATCTATCACAAAAAAACCGTAACAGATGCAATCCAGTATGCACAAAAGAACACCAGAACCCATGAAGACAAAGTAGATAATTATTATTATGTACCCACAAAACTCAATATTATTTGGTAACAATTCAACATGGACCAAGAAAAATTCAGACGACCGGATTGATGTTTCTATGGGAAGTTATACGACAGGGCGAAAATCTTCGACAAGGCAATACGAACTTTCACAATCAAAATCCCAAAATCGGAAAGAAACCGACAAATTATCTTGTACTACCTGTATCACACATTATTTGTCGGTTTATGGAAAACCAACATTGAAAAATCATTCCTAATCTTGGTAAAAAGTATCCATAGCGGCAATATTTTGCATAAGCTGTTTAACAAAGACAATGTCAAAGTAAGATAAAGCTGCTCATGAAACATGGGCAGTATAATCAGAGCCACCAACAAACAGCTTGCTAAGCAACAAAAGCCAGAAAAACTATGCAATTGCAGTAGAAATATGAATGCCTGCTGTTGGGAAATTACCTCATCTCCTCAAATCAAAAATACACCTTCATCACTCCCGACCCCATTAAAAACAAAAACAGCACTATACTTTCTCTAAATCCGTATGGAAAATAAATTGAATTCAATTTAGTAACATTTATTTATACTCTCAAAAAAACAGAAGTAACCAAAGAGTACACATAAGAAAACAATTTTGTCGGTGTGTATTCCTTATACGAAATACATTCATTCAATCATCAAACACAGTGAAAAACAAATATATTGCAAATAATCATAATTGATGACAAATCAAATTGTTAAATGATATCATTCATGTTCAATCTCTCATGTAGACATTACATATACAAAGTACATTGACAACAGATAGTTTTTTTTTTCAGATAATTTTAGACCTTTGTAAGTTTTACGTAAAACATGTGGGAATTTGTCCAAAAAACAATTACATAATTTGGGTCCACTTCAGTCTTGCAAACGGAACATGCATTTCATTTTTGGGAAATATTATTATACTTATAGAAAATATTTAGAACATGTTCATATGTCGAACACGTAATTTGTCACATTTGACTTTTGACATAAATCGTATGACATTGAGTTTGTAAATGTCACAAATATTGAGTATTTTTAATTTGTTAAATAATGGTTCAGATGCCTGTCTAGGGTTTGAGGAGTTTATAACACTGGCAGCTGTTTTCAGAAGTTTCCAAATGGTTTCCTTTGTAATTTTGTAGGTGTTCCTTCCCCCAGATACGATTCCCATATTGGAGGTGGGGTAAAGTCAAAGAATTAAAATACAGCAACACATGAAGATGATGTTATAAATTAATACGAGTGTTTCTTTAAGTTATGTTTCATTTCTAATTGAAGAAACTTGCGATATTGACTGCTTCAACGGCGGAGTCTGTGTTTCGGATCACGGAATTGAGGACTGTCAGTGTATGTCTGGTTTTGTTGGACCAACATGCAATACGTGTAAGTTTTTACAGTGATAAATGTGTATTACCTATTGAGCTAAATCTAATAGTAAGCCTAGTGTGCCGAATATGGTTAAAATGTATAGAAAATGGTCACTTTTCACATAGACTGTACAGTATGTATTGTATTAGATTCAGTTCAATGTTAACGTGTGTTTTATCCGTTATAACTTAAATCTATAATTTTAGTGTTGGAGTGCACCAGCACTACTTATCACAAAAATACTGTGAAAACGTATAGGCATACTACCGACTAAATATCCATTGCTGTGCTATATTAGTAAAGCAGAACTAAAATTACAGCAAAAACACTCAGCAAATGTTCGTTAAGATAGATGTTAACATCAGTGATTAATTTAAGTTCGCATATCTATTCTTGACCTATTTATTTTATTGATGATATTTTAAGAAAAAATAAGATAGATAACATTTGCATAGGGGACTTATTATTCAACTATTTCAACTTTACGCAAGTAATCTTACACTATCTAATGACACGGTCGATTGACATCAAACACTTTGGCTATGTACTATAAAAATGGAGTAGAATAACAAAGAAAGAGCAATTAAAATGGTAAAAGTTATTTTGGTGTCAAAAGAAAGAAAATTCGAAACAAGAAACCTATAAAACAATTTTTAAGAAGCTAGTAAAGTAATGAAATATTATTATCTAGTAAGTTTAAATGTTGGTAGTTTACCATTTATATTATGAAACTGTGGTATGGATGCCATTTTGACTTCACGCAAGTGAATTTTGAAAAGTAGGTGATATTTTTTTATTAAATATATTTACCGAATTCTACAAATATGTGATAGGAATAGGGAACTTATTGTCAAATACTGCCAGTATCGAAAGTCTAGAAGATTTTTTCTAACAAAGTTACAAGTTATGTACTTTGGCCAATGCGCTATTATTCAGTTAATTATTATTTCTTGTGTATTCTTTTAGCCCAGGCCAAATGTGATTTCGAAGAGCCATACATTTGTTACTTTGTACAAGATGAATCAGATGATTTTGATTGGATAAGAACATCTGGACCAACACCAACATCTGGTACTGGCCCTGGGTATGACCACACCTACGGAACATTACAAGGTATTAAAAAGCTGACATGTATTTAAATTTCCAAAATGAAATTGTAAATTCTTAATGAAAATATTTCTAAAACTACAAACGAAATAAATAAAATAAACTACAAAGAGATATAACGACAATATCTCTTAAACAAAACATTTATCAAGGAAATCTCTGGCGACATGGACAAATTTCAGTTGAAACAAACAGTGCCTACCAGATAGTGTTTGAAGGAATAGTAGGAAGTAGTTTTACAGGTGATATTGCTTTAGATGACGTCAAGATCACTGATGGAGCATGTTACGGTAAGAAAACGTCTTACTCTTCACTACAATAACAAGTTATTATCCAAGTTGCCACCCGACATTTTGCAACATTGCCTTTTGAGACCTAGGTCTGTTGCAAAACGGCATTTTACCACCGAATCCGTTATCATCATCCAAGGTCCGATGCCTCCCTTCATTTTGCCATATAGCCCTTTCTGTCAGTAGTTCTGTTACCATACATTTTTTTATCCACTCATGCCGTAACTACACATAATAAGATAGGATGCATTATACAAATTTAACTGGCCATTCTTATCCATAATCAATCAAATTCACAGATTAATGGATTGGTTGATTACCAGATTTTGAACAAATCAATTGCGGTAAAAATAATAGAATAATACACAACTTATGCAGAGATGGTATTGTTTAACATATTGTTTGTATTCTAGGTGGGTTATCTTTATTTTGTAAATGTAATTGATCAAGGGTACTAAATATGATAATCAATTAGACCCAACACGAAATTCTCTACATGAGCATTCCAATACATTGGGCAACTGTAAATACAAGGGTACGGAAGAATTTAATAACTTTGCAGAACAAATACCATCTCATACCTTATTTATTTATTTATTTATTTAGGTTTTAAAATAATGCATGGACAATGTCCATTGTCGTTTAATAATCTTGTGAGATCAAGTGAAAGGTGTGAAGGGCGATTAATACATTGGAAAGCCAAGACTAATACATTTTTAAATTCATCTTTTGTTATTTTCCCTAGATTATGGGAACAACTTCCTAATGAAATTAAACAATGTACATCCATTTCGGACTTTAAAGCCCAGCTCACAAAACACTTGATCTCAAAATATTAATACTAATAATAACTATAATTTATCTCTGTTTTTCATTTTTTTATAGTTAAAATCAATTTATTTTGAAATTACTTTTTTGTATATATTTATATTGTATTGTCATTGTATTTGTTTTTGATGATGGAGTAAGATCAGTTTACTGTTTGGGCTTATGCCTATTACTTACTCCTGGCAAGAATATTGTATGTATACTTTTTACTCCGCCGAATAAATATTATTATTATTATTATTATAACTCTCCATATTAGTAATTATACTGTTCATTCTAAAGACAGAATTGATCGAAGTGGAGGTGGTATACTGCCGTGATTCGGAAAAACGCATTATATCCATTTTTTGAGAATTTTGAGATTTTTGGCTTAGGGACATCCTATGAATGTAATCTATCATGTGAATTGATCATATACCCCAAAAAATGTTTATAAATATGAAATTAATATGAGAGTTACGCATTATATCCATCCACCAAAGCAAAAAAATCCGGAAGAGGGCATTATATCCACTAAGCATTGAAGAGTGAGCAATCAACCAATCACAGAATACAATGATGAATATTTAATTAGTTCCCTAGCTGGTAGAAGGGCATAATAGGGTATAATACCAAGTTTTTTTTTTAAATCAGAGTACAATTAATAAAAGAATAATGCGTTGTTCTTCATCTTTTAAAGAATAAGTTGCAATATGACCATGACCAAATTGTGGCCATAATATACATTTTAGTCTGTAATATTAATTATTATTATAAGCAAGACCATTCAACAAATAAAAAATAAAATACATACATATCAAACTTAAAAATGACTTTCCAATTAAGCCAAGGCTTGGAATTTAGATATAATACCTATGCTAAATTTACATTAAAAATATTAAGCTATATTGAAATGAGTACACATCCTTATATATATGGAAACAGAAATTCATAAATGGGCCTGAAGAAGTGTGTTTAGAAGTATTTTATTTTTTGTTTAATAAATTGAAAGGCGTATATTCTTTATAGTGAATTTAAATAAACTGATTATTTTATGTTGTAAAAACTTACTAACAGTGTTGTTGCTTGTTCTTTCTGTAGTGGTTAATGATAGTATTTAATTTAAATTTTAAATGTACCATACCATATTTTAGGTGAAATACAACATTTACTAAATCAGATCAGACACATTTTGTAAATATTTTATGAGAGTGAATGCGATAATGTTGCTAAATAATATAAACAAAAACCCTTAAGAAACTTAAGAAGTTATTTAAACATAATGGAATTTAAACCTCTAAAGTCCTGGTAAAAATTCACTTTAATATGTTATTTTTCATTAGTCCTTAAGTAAGAATAATGCATGCATTCTGCTGGCAAAACTGAATATAATGCCTAACATCAGATTTTTCATGCTTCATTGGCTTTTGTTTTAATTTGGAAAAGCGCATTATGTCCATTTTGACTGGGTTATAGAAAAAAATATATAAAAAAGAAAGTACCTCAGTATGTTTTTTCTGTTGTGTAGTTAGTACATTTACACAAAAAAAAAATCAATATAATTCATTTCCATAACAAAAGGCTAACAAGAAACGCGTTTTGCTCAATATCTTAAAACTATGATTTTGTCTTATAATGCGTTCTTCCGAATCACGGCAGTATATGTTTCTACGTACATAAGAATCTAAACTCCATCGCAAGGTCTAATCTCCATCATTGATGTTTTATGCTTGTGAATCCCTCTGAAATCGTAAATGAAACTAGTAAAAATGTAATCTTAGGTATTATTTATAGAGCACCTGGCTTAAATGTACATCATTTTACATCTGCTATTGAAGAAACTATAATAAAGATAAACGATGAAAATAAAAAGTGCTTTATAATGGGTAATTATAACATTAACGTACTAAATCATAATTGCCAAAACCCAACTGTGAATTTATTGAAAATATTATGTCAAACACTTTTTATCCATTGATATCTAAACATACACATATTTCTGAAAACTCTGCCAATTTCATCGATTACATATTTACTATTGTAATTGACGACAATATTCTAAAGGTATCAGGTGTTCTAATAACTGACATATCTGATCATCTTCCGATATTCCACATCGGTTGTCCTGTTGAATTAAATACGAGCAATGACATACATCATAAAACTAAATATGTAGTTAATGAACAAACCCTGAATGCTTTTAATGAAGAATTAACTGTAGTAGACTGGTCTGTGGTCTACCAAAAAAAAGTGATCCAAATTATGCTTATAACTGTTTTTATAATATTTATAGAATTGTACATGATAAGCATATACAGGTATGTATTAGAAATAAGTCTCGTAGAACCAAAAGGAGTAAACAACCCTGAATGAGCCCTAGCTTGGTAAAATCGAGCCAGTGGAAGCATGTGTTATATAAAAGGTACTGTACCTAAAGAACCCTAACATGACTAATAAAATAATTTATACTTGTTTAGAAACGTATTTATTAATCTGTGTAGAATTGCAAAAAAAAAAAAAAAAAAAAACAAAACAAAAAAAAAACAGTTTTACATTATTAAATTTGAACAAACAAAAGGTTAAGGCCTCAAGGGAGCCAACTTGCTATCCCAGATACCTTCTATTATAATAATTCACATGTAACTGGTAGTCAGAATATTGCTGATTTTTTCAACCATTATTTTGTAAACGTGGGTCCGGAAGTTGTAAAATCAATTGCTCCGCGTACTGTTCAAATTGCGCCATCTGACTACTTGACTGGCAACCATTGTCACTCTTTCTTTTTAACATCTGTTGTAGAACAAGATGTTCATAATCGAAAGATTTTATGTTCATGATGTTATACGAAAACTAGATCCCAACAAATGTTCAGGTTTTGATAACATAACGTCAAAAGTGGTCAACGGCTCAGCATTATCCATTTTAAAACCACTGACTTTTTTTGTTAATCAGTCGTTTGTAAAAGGTATCGTACCAGATAATCTGAAAATTGCCAGGGTTTTGCCATTTTTAAAAAAGGTACACATGATCCTTTTATAGATTATCGACCCTTATCTATCTTACCAATCTTTTCCAAAATTCTTGAAAAAAATTATGTATTCCAAAATATGCTTATTCTTAGATAAATACACTATCCTCAACGACCATCAATTTGGGTTTCGTGTATATATCTGATGCCATTATGAATCTTATCTCCAACATTACGACGGCATTTGATAAATTCTTAATCATTGTGTTTATGGATCTTTGTAAGGCCTTTGATGTTATTGATCATGATATTTTGCTTAAGAAGTTTCATTATTATGGATTCAGAGGTATTGCTTTACATTGGTTCTCCAGTTACTTAAGATCTAGGAAACAATTTCACTGTGAACTCATAATTATTAATCAAATCAAATCAAAGCATAACATGTGGCGTACCATCAAGGGTCAGTTTTAGGCTTATTGCTGTTTCTAATTTATGTTAATAATATTCATTTGGTTAGTAATGTACAGGTACTTAAAACTGTGTCTTTTGCTGATGATACGACTGTTTTCCTATCAGGAGATAATCTTGATCAGCTGTTAACCGTTACAAACATTGATTAATTAATGCTTTCCCCTAAAAAAAAAAGTGAAACTTATAGTCAATAAATTACAATCTCCTTGGGTCACCGAATCGATTGCCAAGGCAATCCAGACTAAAAACAAGTTATATAGTAAATATCTAAAAAAAATCATCGAATAAAAATAAAATTAAATACACCAGATATAGAAACGTACTTACTAATATAATTAGAAAAAGAAAAAAGAATATTTTAATAATAAATTCGAAAAAAATAAAAATAATCTGAAAAGAAACATGGAAGGCCATTAATCAACTTCTTGGAAGAAGCAAAAATCCTAACATACCGACTGACGTCACTGATAAATCAAAGACATACACAATCCCAAATGCAAAATCTGAAGCATTTAATACTTTTTTTGTTAACGTTGAGAAAAAATTAGCTGATAATCTAGAACAAGATAATCAGAAAAATAGGCCTAATCCAACGTCATATTTGACGGGTAACTTAATCTTAATTCAATGTTTTTTAGGCCTACAATCGAAGAAGAAATAATCATATATATTAATAAACTTGGGACAAATAAAGCACAAGGGCACGATGACATAAGCGCTAATTACAATAAACATAATTATATTTACTTTACTAAGCCTATTACACACATGATAAACGTTTCACTTACAACCGGTTGTTTCCCTGATGAATTAAAAATTGCGAAATCTATACCCGTATTCAAAAGTGGCGATAAACATAACATTGATAATTTTCGACCCATATCAATCTTACCCTGTCTTTCAAAAATATTCGAAAGAGTGGTCTATGATCAGACTATTTGCTTTCTTAACAAATATCACATAATAAACAGTTCTCAATATGGTTTTCGGCAACAACACTCTACAATTCACGCCCTATTACAAACCATAGAAAAAAATAACGTCAGCTATTGAAAACAAATCATTTATTATAGGTGTATTTTTAAACTTATCAAAAGCATTCGATACGATTGATCACAAATTACTTATTGACAAAATGAGGTATTATGGCATACGGGGTGTTGTATTAGATTGGTACAAAAGTTGTTTTTTTTTTTTTTTTTTTTTTTTTTTTTTTTTGCAAATTGGTAGTGTATCGGCACAAGGTGAGACAAGAAATATTTTTTCCATTGTTCAATGTTGTTAGTACTGTAGGTGTCTACCATTAATGTGGCTTATATACTGTACTGTAATATAAAATGAAATTAAAATTAAGTAAAAATTTAACTAATATATATATATATATATATACATATACATATATATATACATATATATATATATATACATACACACACACATACGTACATATATACATACACATACACATACATATATA